TCTTAACAACGGGCGCTGAAATTTGTGTAGGGCGATGCGCCAGATTTTTATGTTTAACAGTAATAGCTTTGTCAATGTCCGTGTAGGCACGTCCCTCACATTCAATTTGTGGGCCCATAAAATGCCCCTCGCGTTATCTTTCACCGAAAAATGCCATCCAGTGAGGCACCCGTTGTCGTTCCAACCCGAAAGTATGGCATTCAGATGTAACGCCGTCTCAATAGGCACATTCGCGAAGGCGTTCACACTGGGTTGCCTTCATGTACACTTCCTGCGACGTCTTGCGGATATTAACCGAGTAGACCCTCCAGTAAGGAACAGTGCACCCGACGAAAGGTCCGTTTTTATTCACATCACAGAGTCTCAATGTCGTTACCACTCACCAAGTTACGTGTGGATGTTCCGCGGAATTTTTCCCACACTATATAATTATGGTGGACTCGAAACACGACGCTATGGAGTGCTGAAGAAAAGTGGAAGAAAAAAAAAATCCCGCAGATCCCACGTGCCTTGATAATCGACGTCACGCGAAGCATGCGGAGAGAAGATGACCGTGTTGTATTTTTTTATTGAGCCACACGTCATTAAATGACGCTAAATATATGTCTAAATGTTGCACGCACAGACATGTGTTGAGGAATTCCAGATTTTTATTTAACCAGTTGTTTGAACTTGCGCAACGATGCCAACAGGAACACGAGTATTGGCAACATCAAAAGCGATAGGCGATTTGAAGCGCTGGAGCGCGCGAGGTTGGTAGTCCTGAAAACTGCCACATAAATCAACTTCAGCGCATGGCATCTAACTACAATTGACATTAACCTATCGTGACATTTGTACAACGGGAATACATATGCAGTGTTTATAAAATTGAATTGGCCCGCACTGCAACAACAATCGACGTTGCTGGAGTATTAGGGTCTATTTGAAAAGTAGTTCCGAAACCTGACCTTGCTCTGTGGTATAGTGCTTGATTGCCGCACAGAATTCTCGGGTTCGATTTCTGCTCGGAACCTGACATTTATTGTTTGCGTTCATGGGGTCAATGCTGCCGATGTCAGCTTTTTCCAACGCTCACGCGTTAAAAGTACCCACGTCAGTTCTTCTCGTTCCTGGGCAAAAATAATATCAATAACCGGTGGCACATACCCGCCCGTGGCTATGTGCCACTGGTATGCGGTAAGTGTTTGACAACGTACGCGACGGCGTTTTTACATTATTCATGTGCTCACCAGTCCAGTCAAATTCGATATACCATCTTAGCCGTCCCATACTGATTTGGTTCACGTCAAGTTAAGGGGGTGATCACGACAGCACCCAGACGTAAGCGGCTAGATAGATAGATAGATAGATAGATAGATAGATAGATAGATAGATAGATAGATAGATAGATAGATAGATAGATAGATAGATAGATAGATAGATAGATAGATAGATAGATAGATAGATAGATAGATAGATAGATTAGCAGATGGACGCTGGAAGCGCTTACAATATACGAAAAAAAAAATGCTTCGCATTTAAAACTGGAGGTAAAGTGAACAGACAGAAGGTTAGATAAGTGAAAAACACGGCGGACGTCGGTGTGTGCGTAACGGTATATATAGCAAGCGCCGATAATGAAGAACACGTGACGCCATGGAAGTTTCCTTATCTTTTTTGCTGTTGCAACGCCTTCTTAAATGGAGCGGAATGAGCACACTTGCCTGCGACGGTAAACGAAGGAGGAAAGAAGCATTTAAGAAACCCGTTTCTCCCTTTGTCAAAATGGGTAGCGCAAACAGGCCAAAAGGCAAGAAAGCACATCAGAATGTTTCAACCATCCCACTTTGCCACAATATACTTCAGTTATTTCATTTGTATAACGTAATGGAGCCAGAGAAATTAGGGTAAAATGGTCATTGTGGTGGTAGAGATGGCGGTAGTATTACTATTACTGGTACTAGTAGTAGTAGCACTACTACCTCTATTGCTAGGTATGTAGTAGCATTAGTAGTAGTAGCAGCAGAAGTAGTGGTAGTAGTAGTAGTAGTAGTAGTAGTAGTAGTAGTAGTAGTAGTAGTAGTAGTAGTAGTAGTAGTAGCAAACAGCACCAGCAAAATGTTTACTCATTTGTCGGTCATTAATATATTCTAAAAGTGAGATAACAAGATGGAGTGAGTGAATAAACTTTTTTTTCAACAGGTTTGGCAGTTCTGCTTCAGGGAAGGGGGAGAGATGTCCTTTTTTTTTCTTTTCCTTTCCCGAGCCTCAGGTATAACAAAGGTACACTAAAGAGAAACAATGACTGTTGTATAGGACAAGCTGCACTTCGAAACCTCTAATGCCGTACGTTTCACTATCATATGTTTATCATTGACGGATAAAATGAAGATTGTAGCCTTATTTTTAAAATTTCGTGCCGCAATCCTGTGCGCGTGCTATCACTCATTTCAAGATGTATGTTTGGTATTTTCGTGACATTGGCTGGACGAAATTTCCTGGAATTTTCTGCACTGTGTCTATGGCACCCACAGGTAACAACGTACCCCAATAATTTTTCTCTGTAAGAGGCTACGTGGGAACCAGTAGATGGCTTCGATATCTGTGACGTCCGGCCATTGGGTGCGGGAATCTCAATATGGTGTCGCCACCCGCATCATTCCTTAGTGCACTTTCTCGCTTACCAAGCATCGTGCCGCGGTAAGAGTGGGACTGTGAAATGGTACTTTAATAACGCGCAAAAAGCATTTTTGTCTTTTAAGGTCCCTTTATGGCAACTTCCCAAGACCACGAGAAAAAATCTCGTAGTTTGCAGTTCAAAAGCTGGAAGGACAGTGAATTGTGTTATTGGAAATTTTTCGGTCTTAGTATACTCTTATTGGTAACTGCGAGGCACTCTTATATTATTTTTCGGGAATAATTATAACACTAGATAGAAGGCCATAGCAAGCGTGAGCGTAAAGTTCGACATTAAGCACGCGCGCTAGCAAATTCAACTGTTGTTCACCGAACGGTACGCAGGGCTCCAAGACAAATGGCTCCTCCGAAAAAGGATGTGGTGCTATCAAAACTTCAAAATTTTCAGATAGAAAACAAGAAAACAAGGAGAGCAGATCACTTCCGCGGACGCACCTCGTCTCGTCGTCGGGGCATCCGGTTTCCCGCCAGAGGGTGCTCTCGTAATCTCCCGTTGCATACCGATCTTCCGTTTCCTGTCTCTGGAAAAGAAACGCTTTCACTGCGCCTTTCGTTGCGCCATGGCGCCTTCGTGGATGTGTCACGTTCCAATGACCGTGACATATTCCTTGTTACGACATTGTTCCGGCGGAACTCAAAGTACCGGGTTCAAACACGGCCGCGGCGAACAACGTATTCTCTCTACAATGCTGTTAATTTCTATCTTGTCTTCGCCTTCGCATGTACCCGTCGATGACCTGCGTGTTTAGATTGGCCTTAGGGCTCTTATAACTTACCTTTGCGCTTCAATTTGTTCACTGTTGAGCATTTACAGCTCCTGATGGTAGAATAGCAATGCGCCTGATCACTGAAAAAAAAAACCGCTCCCTTTTGAAGCCGGGCAAATCCCCACTCGAGCCCTCCTCGCACCGCCTAACAGTGCTGGCCAGCTGCGTAGGAAAGATCATAAAATGCATGATTCTTGGCCACCTGGAGTAGTATCCTGAGCAGTACAAGATCTATCTGACCTCCACGGCTGGTTTTCGATGTGACCGCTCTTCCAACGACAATGTAGTTGACCTAGCTTCGTATGTTCAACACCGAAAGTCCCTTAAATGAATATCTGCAGCTTTCTTTCTTGTTGTGAAAGGCACACACGATAACGTCGTACATGAGGCCATTCTCAATGCCCTTACCGGCGATTGCCCTGTGTTTCCGAGTTTTTAGAGTAAAAGCTGTATATGGTCAAGAAAAAACGAAAAATCGTTCGCCATCGGTGTCACGAGTGGTCTCCATTGGCTGTGATAGGAGTTATGTTCTCAAAGTCCTACCAGAGGCCTTCAATGCTTCAACGGTATTAAGGGACTCTGGTCCTACCTAAGCACGCGCGCTATTGGCTGCGTGGGAGTAACGTCACCCATCTCGTCGCAGCGTGGCGCCGAGCACGCGCACACCGATTTACACTGAAACCTTGCACATGGGCAAGTTACGGACAACTTTAGAAGAGCGCTGACAGTGGAAACGTGAGAGCGCTCGCATTCGCTGGTCCGATGGTGCAGTCCGGGCACAAAAATGGACCCGGGATGCCGAGTGCCGGCAGCAACTGCGTATGATGATCCGACAGCCTTCCAAGCCGTGCTGACTCGCGAACGGGAATACGAGCACCGCTGACGGGCCGATCCACGCTACGGCAAGTAATTGGGTGGGAAGCTTCCATGGTTCGCTTAAGCGTTTTGATGTCATAAACATTTCAGTGCCGCTCATAAGTTGATCTGGTGAAAGTGACCTGATTCGTACGTCCGCAAATTGTATCTGTTCGTAAGCTGACAAAGGAGTTGACCCTCCTTCGGGCACCATCTTGTATCGCACAGCACGCCACCTACATTTCGTGGGCGTCGCGAATAAATAAATGAAAAATTACAGTGACATGCAAGCCCTTCTCATTGTCTACTTCTTTCCCTGTGCAAAGCAGCTGTTTTTTTTTCATGTTCGCGTGTTAGCATGTTGAAGAAAACTACGTTTTATACGTTTAAGGAACACTTCATCATGAGGTGAAGTAGAACACTTCAATCAGTGTTCTACTTCCACAACTGTCCATTGGTTTTCCGAAACTCAAAGCAAGCATTACTAAACATTGTTGACTGTACTACCCACTTTCAAGTTCAAAATGATTACATGGCAAAATGACTTGACAGTACTTTACCTCTCCATCAGTGTTCCCGTTTGCGTGGCTAGGCTCAGCCGCAGTCACTGGCCCAACAGAGCCAAGCGTTCTGCAACTGAACTGAAAGGCCGGAGAAAACAGAATCCACGTGATATTTATTTTCATTTATTGCCACTCTGACATATTACGTACACCTACAAAAACAGCCCATAGCACAAAGAACAAGAACTGCCGTTGTGTTGTCGTGAATATTGTCGTATGTCTTACAGGCATCCGTTCCCAGTGACATGACGCGCTTCATGAAAACTCGTTTAACACAGCTTTAATTTCGACCTAATGAAGGCATTCGCAAACACACCGTTTTGAGTTAATTAAATACACCGTGCAATGTACTTGCTGAAGTACAAGCGGGCTGACTGAGAATCCGGGTTGCGATGGTATAACCCACCCTTCTGCAGCCCTGTAAAAGTGAAGGTCCATAAATATAAGCGTAGCCATGTGTAAGGCATACGCCAAATTCGGCCCAATTCCTTTTTTCTAGTACGCTGGTCATGTTCTCAACCAACTAAGAACAATGGGAACAACCAGCAAAACCAGAAAACTTCTGGAAACCACGACTGCGTTTGCAGAAGACTCGCATCCTCTGAGCAGGACTGCGGCATGCCCCACCCTGGTCATCACTGCCTTGGCCGTCGTCATCGACAGGGTGCAGGACGAGTTGAATGCCTGGTCGAAACAGTCAACCTCGGCGGGGTTTATGCTGCAAGAAACATCAGGGTGAAATTCTCAGTTAATCACTGTTGGGTACGGTCGTAATATTGAAGGTATTTAATGATTTGGGGAAATATCTATCTCCGTTTTCAAAACTAGAGCCTGATAACGTAATCTCGCCCTGCTATTAGCACCATCTTCATAACTAGCCCTGTACGCTTCTGGTGCCGTGGCCCTGAGTTCACCGACGCGTCCCCGCTGGCGTGGACTGCCGAGACGTCAGTCAGGGTTACGTCGACCTGGACTCCACGTGGTGGCGTCGAGTCCGGGCACTTGCTCCACTAGGTGTTTGCTTCGGAGAAAGATACAGGGGGTGCTAAGTCGTGGGAACGCACACCGGGTATGCTTATCAAGGACATCGCGCCAATGACCGAGAGTCGCGACAATGGACACATCAACCGCGCCGCAAAGAAAGAACGTCCATGCACGTAGCGTAGGCCCTTTCGAGTTATCGGTCTATTATGTCCACAGACAGCCCCTGGCAACTGGACGATATACAAATGTTGCCATGTTAGCTATTCTTGCACGTCGTCGACAGAGGACATCGTCGCCGAAGACGACCATGGAACTGCTGAGGTTGAGAAAAACGGGCTTGGACAAGTGGTTGTGATAATGATGTCCTGCTCAACGCCAGATTGATGGACTGTGACCGACATGCATGCGTGTTTGTGTGTTCTGTGTGATATGCCATCTTTCCTTTTCTTTAATCTCTGACCTCTTTGTTTGAATCTACCCCATTTCACCTATACAAAAACAAACCGGTTATACTGAACTGGTTAAATTCAGTTACCTACAATTTTTTTCTGCCTCCTCAAATTATCGCGGAAAGCCTATACTTCAAAAGAATCTCGAACTGCCCACTGCGTCATGACCCTTCATTAACTTTAAGTTCACAAAAGGCCCGATACGCGTCTGTTGCGCATAGTACTCGCTTAGTTGATGCTGTAGCTCGCGATAGTGGTTATTAGTGACCGAGTGCTTTCTCATGGGTTGCCCTTCAAACCGCCCACTCATTGGAACTCGTGGTTTGACGCAATCCGAAGTCCCGCGCTTTACGTAATGTTACACGTATTGATGGTACTCATCGCACTAATACTGAAGATTCCAATAGCGTTCTTTTTTTCTACGAAGGGAGTTTGACCACGGATGTAGCTTCGTCGTAGAACATCTGCTTGCCATGCAGAAGGCCTAGGTTCGATTCCGACTTGAACGGATGGTTTCTCTAATCTGATGTATTTCGATTTTCCGCTCACGGACAATGCAGATTTCGCACTCATGTTGAACGACGTCGACGCCGGTATATCTGAGAAATGAACTCTTTAACGCTGCCGCCAAAAGCCAGTGCTTGGGCATGTAATATGCGTTTGTCGTTACGTAGTTATCACAGTGCAGAGCACACGATATACAGCGAATCCTAGACAATTTTAGCATGTATTTCGGAGTGTGTATGTACCAATGAATGTGTGTATTGCCACGCGCGTTTCTTCTTTAACTTCTTGTTTCATTCGCTTTTCGCCCGCAAAGCCTGTCAGGCATGATCAGCACAAACTGCACATCTTTGTTCGAGAACGTTCGCAATCATCGAAGATAGTTGTGTTAAGATTGCGCGCAAGACGAGAACACTCAAGATTGTTCCAGAGCTTGCGCGAAGACCAGTGATACGGCTGGAATATTAGACGGCACATGTATAAATACCGACGCACTTCGTCCCTTGTCAGTTGATCGACGGCTGACGCTCAGTTCGCCGCTGTCAGTGCCAGTGTGTATCGCTGTAATCTGACCTTTCATTGACTGGCCACATTGCAAGTTCCGCCGAATAAAGAGTTTCATCTTCGAACTACAGGCGACCTGTCCGAAAGTGCCGAATGTGTTAGCAGGCCTTCCATATATATTTTGTCTGACGCTGAAGTTATGTATCTTAGAGGTTTTTTTTTTTTGACCTTGTCCTTTTTGCTCTTGTTTCGGCGCCCCGCCGCAGCGGTCTAGTGGCTAAGATACTCGGTTGCTGACCTGCAGGTCGCGGGATCGCATCCCGGCTGCGGCGGCTGCATTTTCGGTGAAGGCAAAAATCCTGTTGACCCATGTGCTCATACTTGGGTGCACGTTAAAGAACCCCAGGTGGGCGAAATTTCCGGAGCCCTCCACTACGGTGTCTCTCATAATAAAATGGGGCCTTTGGGACGTTAAACCGCACAAATCAATCAATCTTGTTTCGTCATAGTCAAGTGTTTCTCGCTCATCGCGCTTGCGTGAGTTCCTTTAAATCATTTTCAGTTTCTTGTTTTCTTTCTCTGGTTAAAACCAGCCTTGCTATCATGCTTTTAAGCTCTTCACAATTGCGGTTTTTTGGCGCATATGCACAGGTGACGGCAATGAAATACCAGTTGTTAATCAGCGCTCTGTGTCTCTACCGCCCTTTGTTCTCTCCGTATCGCTGCGCTGCCCTTTCGGAATGAGTACCATGAGCCCAGCTAGCCCAAGCCAAAGTACTTCTCGACAGCCGCCGTTACAATTTTCGACGAAGCTTCGTGAAATACCAGTCCGGGAACCGCATTAGGGTATGAACGCCGATATGACGACGTGGACTGACTGGAAAACTTCTGCGACAATACTTCGCACAGCACAGGGTTGTTCGACGTCTCGGCACACTCGACTACGAGGTTGTCGCTGACGGCATCACGAATTCTCAACGGCGGTGTAGCGTGACCTGAAGACGTTCATGTCGGGCGCCTCAAGCCCTTTTGTGTGCGTTAAAGGGGTACTTCGGGGCCGAGATAGCGTGCGAGGTCGATTCTCGTGAACATTCTTATATGTCTGCAAGATATCAACAGCGAATATAGCTTGGAAGATATTTTAAATTCATCTTGAAGTTTGCGTGAGCGACTGACTCCATAGCGCTATAGACACTATCGGAAGGAACCCAAGGTGACCCCCTACTTCCCTCACGTCACCACGCTACGGTCAACGCCATTTTTATTGTGCCGCGTTAGTTCCCGCAGTCTATATTTCTCGACAGCTGGTTGCGAGTGCATCACCATGGCGCACGCTTAGAAAGTCATGTGTTAGGCGACATTCCAGTCCCGCTTCATATTCTAAAGTAAGTCTTTATGCGAACCGTGTGGAAGTGCGTCACGGTTTTGTGCGCTGACGTGGTCAAGAGCTGCACACGCTAGGCGGCGACAGTTGCACCCAGTTTTTGAAACTCTTTCAAACCGAAACTGAAACTGATTGATAATGAGGGCCTGTAATTAATTATATGTCGTGTGCTGCAGCAAACGATGTGTTGAGTCAGGACTAACAGGCACCCAGCAACACATTGCAGCAGAAAAACGCGAGGCCAAGGTTTTTGTGTCAGTGCCCCTTTAACAAACCCAGGGATACATTCTTTGTTGTTTTTTCTCTATTGTTGTGTTTTTGTTACCTTTATTGTTCGCGCATTTTGCCACGTGTTCTGTTTTAAACATGGGACGATGCCTTTTCAGAGGGGGGGGGGGGGGCAATGCCACGCGAGTTTGTTATTCTCTTTTACTTCATTCAGCTTTCGTCCACAAAACCTGTCAGGAATGCTCAGCGCAAACTGCGCCTCATAATTTGAGAAGATTCGCGATTATTGTAGATCGTTGTGTTAAGATTGCGCGCAAGAATCCACCGTTCTAGATTATTCCAGAGCTCGCGACGACCAGTAATAAGGCTGGAATTTTGGACGGCCCATGCATAAATGCTGACACGCTTTGCCCTTGTCAGTTGATCGATGGTCAACACGCTCGGTTCGTTGCTCTCAGTGGCAATAAGTATCGCTTTAATCTGGCTTTTCGTTGACTGGTCACAAGTTCGGCTTAATAAACAGCCCTACCTTCGAACCTTCGTCGACGTCAGGACTCCTTGACAGTATGTAAAAAGCGATAGAATGTCGGGAGTTCGCAGCATCTAGCGCACAGCGAGAAACATGGGCAGGGTGAAAACCGACGAAGAAGTGTGCTTCCTTGATTAAATATTCAACGTCGCGCCGAAAGAAGAACCACACACAAAAAGAAACAGATATAGACACCACGGGTACTCACAAATGTTTATTCCCTGAGGAAACAGGCTAATATAAACCCAATCTTCGTCGACACATGCGCAACATGATCAGCCCTTCTCTTACTTAGTGGGTTTATATTAGCCTGTTCCCCAATAGTCTGTTTCTTCAAGGAATAAACAGCTGTAAGTGAATGCCAGTGGTGTCTATATTTGTTTCTTTCTGTGTGTGGTTGTTCTTTCGGCGTGACGTTTGTCACAGAACGAGCGCTAAAAATGGGCGCGCCGCCAAATTGTCGCGACGAAACGCCGGAGTGGCGCCACGAGGTCAAAAGAAAAAGAAAACAAACATCTAAAGGCTCCCCGGGGCGCGCGCTCTCCCCTCGGAAGCGTGGCTTCGCCGACGAACCTCCTCGCCCCACATCGGCGGCCGAGATAGCCCGCGAAAGTTCCAGAACGAAAGGGGCGTGGTCATACCGAGTTGAGTCATCCTCCGGGGAGGGCATTCCAACCGTCTCGCCCTCTTCCCAGCCTTCGCTGCGTATCGCGCCGACGAAATGACGAGAACCGTGTGGAATGTCGCGCGCGAGGTATTTAACCGAGCAGCCGAGATTAGAGATCAGGAGAAGACGGAAGTTGCGCCAGAGTGCGAAGGGATCCCGCCGTGTAGTCGGCGAAGGTTTGTCCTTAGGGACGAAGCAGGAGATGAAGAGGATTTCCACCTGAGGGGTGAAAGCTCGAGCTACAGGCAAGAGCGTGTGTCTACCGCTATCGAGCGAGGACGCGTGGCAACAGCTGCGTGTGTGAAGCCGACGTGTTCGGGCGAAGAAGTTTGAAGCTTGGAGAGTGGCCTATTGAAGACGGGAGGTTTCCTGGAAGAGAAACTTCGGCGAGGTTTCCTGGAAGAGAAACTTCGAGGGCGCGGAACGACAACAACGCTGGACTTTGAGTGAGTGATTCTCGGAAGAGTAT